TGAATAAGAAGATTTTGTGATTGTAGACGAGTGTTTCTATGTTAGAGAGGCAGGAGGCAATCTACTCCTCCGCTCACATCTTTAACTTATGAGCTGCTCTTGGAAACAAAATATTACTCCAATGTATTTGAAATAATACTTTTACAAAGAGTTCATTGTGTATGATGTTATTTTATATTTTTGTATGTATTTATATTAAATGTATAACTATAAGTTTATTTATAGAAAAACCTGTTTAACAATATTTATATCGTTAAAAAATACTTATGCAGCTAAATGAAAAGTTCTAAGTAAGAGTTTTCAAATAAATATAAAGATTGCGTTATATTTGACAAATTAAAAAAGGCAAAGTGTCATAAAACAAAATAGTAATTAGATATGAAATTCGTCCGCTCATTTATTCTTTCTTTTCTTCATTGTTAATTTCCAAATAGAAAAGGATCATAAAAGTCGAAGTCACTTTGATAACTTTTTCTAATATCGAGATAAATTCATACAAAAGAAGCCTTGAATCTAAATTGCATATAAGTAATAACTTTTTTTAATTATTGTTTGGTGTTTCTGTGAGACAAACAAGATAAAGTTTAAATTTAGAATTAGATCATAATTCAAACAATCCTTGGATAATATGTGAAACAAATACACATAAAAAATAAAATATATAAAAATAAGTATAACTTACATAAATCTCATAGTGTAAATAGTAAATTACATCCTATTTACTAAGTAATACATGTCTATAATCTTTTGAAGTCTTATCTCTTGTTTTGTCTTCTTATTAATTAAGTAATTATATTTGCACAATATAAAGCATCAGCTGGTTTGCCCGAGAGGTTAAGGGGGAAGACTTAAGATCTTCTGCACATAAGTGCGCATGGGTTCGAACCCCATAGCCAGCATTTTTTTTATATATTCTTTTAAATATAATTCTTTCCTTTTCTACGAGGGTGTTTGGATTGACTTATTAATGAGGAGATAATTAAATATCATGCTTTAATATTCTGTAAAAAAATAAGGAAATATTTTATGTCTTTTAAAGTGAAGGAAAATCTCAAAAAAAATACCACAAAAAAAGATAAATAGAATTTCAGGCCTTAGAATGCGCCACATCATCGTTTTTATGTTTCTGCTTTATATATAGGAAAATCTCAAAAAAAAAAAAAAACCACAAAAAAAGATAAATAGAATTTCAGGCCTTAGATTGCGCCACATCAACGTTTTTATGTTTTTGCTTTATATATATATATATAGATTGTCCAATGCTTAATTTATAGTTTGCAAGTCCAACTTTTTCCTTCATTCAATATGAGTGAATGAAAAGATAAGAGTTTTAAAATTTAATTCGTAGAAATGAAGAGTCTTGTAACCATGATCTTTTCATTTTTCATATTTCTTAATGTTTTTCTCATTTTATTGGCTTATTGCAGTTAAAAGTTGATTCAATTTTTGACCTTAATACCTTTTTACTTTTAGTATTTAGTATAATATATATGATATTGTTTACTATTTAATTAATTAGATATTTAATTTAGCATAGAGGTAAAATGATAATCCAACTTTACACTTTGAAGCATAATGAAACTTAACATACCTAGTTTGCACAATTCAAACATGATGAAATAAAAATTTTAACATGAGAAGCTACAGAGACCTTAAGAGAAGAGTATCATCAACAACTTTCTTCACTCATTGAAATTTTAATCTTATTTATTAATGTATCTTGTTTTACTCTTATTTATTAATTATTTGTATCAAATAAACAACAAAGCCAATGAGAAACTTATGACTTTACTTTATAGTAGAACTTTTTGAATACAATTTTTGAGTTGTCATCATTCACGCAACATATCTAAAAGCATATGAAACACTACTACAAAGAATTTCTAATTCATAATTTAATCCCACATCTTTTCTATTATAGTGCAGAATTACAAAAAGGAAAACTCTTGATAGATAATTCAAGAGATTATCACCAAAATCCGATCAAAAGACAAAAATAATTTCAACCCCACAAATCTATTTATCATAAAATACAAAGCGATAAAATAAAGGGCTAATTACACAAAAGAAAAAGGAAGGGACTTAGACAATATAATTGTAAGAAATATTAATAAAAAATGTATAGAACACAATTATTATTACAACCCATCCTAAAAGAAGTATCATATAAATCCAAAAAATAATTAACAATACATAAATTATGTGATTACAACCGGCATATTTCTAATACCCAAATAAAGTTTCATACAATTATCAAAACCCAAAGAAGCATAATATTTTTTGACCCAACGTTCTCATACTTGGAATGACTTGCTATGGAAAGGAGTTCGGCACCAAAAGGGACACTTATGGAAAGGTTTCCAAATCTAAAAGGATTGCTGAGAAGTGAAGGAGAAGAGCAATTCTCTATGCTTGAAGAAACAAATATATAAAATTGCCTTATGATTGTTTTTCCAACACTGTTTTTTGTCAAGAAATTAGGTGTTTGAGTGATAATTTGATTGATCAATGTATATATTTTTCTATGCAAATTTATGAATATTGTAAAGAATATGAAAAAGTTATTACTACCAACAAAACATTAAGATTGAAATAATTTCCGGTGATAACTAAGCAATTCAAACATTTAATAATTGTGCGAAGATGGAACAATTTTCTAGATTCAAATTCAATGAACGGTTTTCTGTTTAGAAGTTTTTTTTGTTTTTATTTTTAGTGTAGAACAAAATTGTTAATAAAAATTTGTATGAGTATTTTCGTAATTCAACTTTAGACTTGGAGGCTTTCCACTGTTAATATAGCTAGTCCTGGAAACGTGCATTGCACGTTTGACCCCTATTATTATATTAAATTTATACAACCCCAACTTATGTTTGTAATATCTTTATCTTATTGTGTGCCGCCAAGTTCTTCCATGTAATGTAAGAAATTTGAAAAAATAAATTATATAAAATAGAGTTAGAAAAACTCTTTTTATAATTCATGGAAGTGTCATTACAAGTTTATTTCAAAAGCATATAATAAAGTTCAGTATTTTAAGATAACCTTTCTAATATATAATTTATTAATTGTCATTATTGATTTGATTATAAAAGTTAGCAAAAAGTATTTTTTTTAACTAAAAAAAAAATAGAAAAAAGCATTTTCGTAATTCAACTTTGAATTTAAAACCTTCCACTTTTAACATAAAAAAAACATTTATAACATCATCTTAATTAACGTGAAAAGCAATATCATCATACTAATGAAAAAAAAAAAACTTAAATAATAAATAAATTAATGCAAAACATATCTAAATGTGAAAATTTTATATTCAACATATAAAAATATTATAAAAGTGAAACGGTAGATAACTAAACAATAAAGTACTATATAGTACATAAGAATCAATAATCAAAATAATCTCCTTTTTATACTACAATTAACTTATGAAAATGGGTTTCCTATTCTAATTAATTAATTTTTGAAAATAAAAGAACCGCAATGAAGATTAAATATATTAATTTCAATTATTTGACATATTATTAAATCACAAATTTCATTTTTATAAAATAGAAGCTACAAATAAAGTATATTCACTTATTATAGTTGATACAAAATTCTTTTCATTACTATTAAATTGAATAAATAAATAAATAAATAAATTAACACAGTGTGTTGACATAACAAAAAATGATTAAAAAGAAAAAGAAAAATATCTTTTTTTTTTGGATTGAATACTTGAACGTCGATCATGTCAAGATACGGACGTATTCGATCCAACTCTTGTTATTACTTTATTTTTATCAGATTATGTTATAAATTTAATCAAAAAGTTACTTGAATTTAACTTGAAGTTATTTAATATTTAACTAATTTTACGTAAGAAATAATCATATCTCAATTCCTCATTCTAATCAACTTCCTAAAAAAAGAGTTTACTTTCAGTTCTTTGACATATGTAATTAACTTACAAAATTCAATTATAACAATATAAATTGTATCAAAATTTAAATTTTAACATCTAAATCTGCCAAGTATTTTGCTTACAACTAAGACATCTATTCCTTACTATCAAATGGTACAAAAAAATTAAATTACAACAATTATGCCTAAAAAAAAAACAAAAGTTATAATGATACATACAAAAATATACTGTATTTATTTACTTCTACGTATGGCTTTATTTTGTGCATAAGGTGTAACATTATTTTTCTTCAGAATAATAATTAAGATTATTTGTGTCTTATCAAACCAAAATAGAAAAGAAAATTATTCCTTATGTTATAAAGAATATCAATGCAACTGAAAAGCAAATTAAATCAATTCCATACGTGATAAAGCAGACAAACTTTATCAATAACAAATGAAAAAACAAACAACTCAGAAAAGAATCTTTATTGAAAGCCTGATAATTAATGGAAGAAGAATAAATTATTATGAAAAATTACAAGAATCAATAAAGCAAACAAATTTTCTTTATTACAAATAAAACAATACCTGGTACAACCCAATAGAAAAAAAAATCAGCAGCTTTAAAATTTACTAAAAAGTGAAATGATTTTTGAAGCTATAAGTATATGTAGTGATATATTGGACTGGGAGGCCAAAAGTTTGGAAGTTAGAAGAGCAAAAGCCTGAAAGTTGAAGAAAAATGAAGAGCCAATATTTATTGTGATCTCTTAAAGAAAATGCCTTAAAAAGGTATTTTTACTTTTAATTAATTTTTTTAATGCAAATAAACGGAAGTAGCTAGAGAAAATGTGAGATTTTCTATAATATATATTAGAAGAATAGATTAAGAAAAAATGTCAAAAATTTAAGAAAAAAGAGAAATGTCATTTAATTGTCATTATTGATTTGATTTTAGAAGTTAGTAAAAGATATTTTTTTAATTAAAAAAATTAGTGTAGGGGTATTTTTGTAATTTAACTTTTGACTTAGACTCTTCCCACTTTTAGTAATATATAATAATATATATGATGATATATATATGATTATATGATGATATGATATGATGATTCTTGCAGGCTGCCATCAAAATAATAAAATAAAAATGGCAAGACACAAGTTGCTCTGTACAACATTCAACCATGGTAGGAGAAATCTAGCAAAGTGACTGGCATAAGTTTCTCTTTGGACCCTTTCCAGGATCTCCAATTCACTTTCTGCCAAATGCAAATGAGTTTACAGGATGCAATTTCCCTTGCTAATGATGACACTGAATCACATCTAACACAAGTAGCATTTCGACGAGGTCCATGCTGCTGTTTCAAACATGAATCTGAAACACGGGAAATGGTAAAAGGTCAGTTTTGGCACATGTTTCCTCTCCTTGGAGAATGGAGAAGCAGATCATTCATTACAAGTAACCACTAAAAAAAAGGAGAAAGCAAAACCTGTTAAGATGAACAGATACTGCTTAGGACATTTTAAGACACTCTTTGCTATAAGATTTGTGACAACTATCTTTGTTCAAGTCCTTCATTCGCGGAAGTTTTAATGAACGGAGACTTTGTCCTGTGAAGTGAAAGTAACGACAAGTGTGTCATATATTCATAAAATTTCTACTGTCTAAAGCATGAAAGTAAAACCAGCATTGCAGAAGACATAAAGATTATTCTTTTATGAGTCTATTAAGAAACTTATATATATGAGACTTAGCTTGCATTGTTCCTTGAGAGCTATCAATTAACGGAACACCATTTGCAATCTTTTTATGGACAATAGCTAACTTACCTTGAACTTTCAAGCTTGCCACAACCAGAGTCACCACTGAAGCAAAATGTTACAATCTGTCCCCTGAAAATTAAACAGGAAAAAGGAAATACTGTTGAAGACAGTCAACGGAAACTGAAGAAGTTTCTACTATCAGTAGAAGTCACATTTCAGTCCAAAAAGAAATCTGTCTTGCATCAAAGCTTATATATAAGTGGCTTTCTGTGAAATGGTTGTATTCATTAGCATAAACCTCCAAAAATATGTTCCCAACAAAAAGAAAGACAAAATATTTAGAAGATTACAAAGTGCCTATAAATCCTGAATGAAAATTTATCTAACCTAATTGCCTGCCGCTCATGGGATGAAGCTTAATTTACCACAGCGACGTTCTAGCATGACCTTGGAACTAGTAACCTATAAAAAAAAAACCCATAAATTTTCATATCAAGATATGAAAATTTAAAAATTAGAAGAAGAAACAGAGACTTAGATACATAAGTTCTGAATTTTCCTCCCATTACTTCAATATTTGGAATATGGGAAATGTTGGACCACAGAGAGTTTGGGCTACTCCGATTGGTGCAACTTTGGGCAGCCTTCAGTTTCCAGGTACTGTAATTTGGTGAGGCGTCGCATGGCCTCTCTGGATGGCAGATGTTCTAGTTTTTCACAGTTCTGCAAACTTAACTCTTTCAAAGAACCAAGGTATCCAAGCCCATCCGACAGAGCTTCTAACAATGGACAATCATGAATCTTCAGATACCGTAATTAAGGCATGGCATCTACGAAGTCCACATGTTATAGACGTTTGCACCCCATTATCCATAATGTTTCAAGAGAAGTAAGGTTGTATAGTCTATGAGGAAGAGCCTAGATTCTGAAATCATAAATATGGATCTCTCGACAGTTTGAGACTGATAGGAATTGAAGAGAAACGTTGTTGCGTAGCATCTCATCGGGTAAACAAATGAGCTCTTTCACGTCATCGACAAAAAGATCCACAAGAGATGTTAAGTTGCTGCACAAGTTCAACAATGGTATTTCACTGTCAACTCTTTCAATTCTTAATTCACGGAGGATTTCAAATTGAGTTGGAGTACTTTTTAACAGTGGACACTCTGTAATCTTCAACTTCTCAAGCCTAGGAAACATTCTTACTCCAACTTCATCTCCCTTCCACTCAATAAGGCTATGCATATCCTCCATTACTAGTTTTCAATGATTGGAACACTTGAATTTTGCCATTATTACTGCTTGATCCATTATCATTAATCTCAATACCATAAAATGTAGGTCCGATGCATTCCAATTCAAGGAATCCTATCAGCTCAAGATGCCGAAGGAACTTCAGTTGACCAAGAGATGGAATTTCTTTACACCTTTCGCAACCACTTAATATCAACTTGACCAAATTTGGTATCAATTCTTCACTGAACCATGAAGGAAATTTAGTCCCCAAATAGTTCCACACTTCTAAGGTTTTCAAGTTAGGATGCGGTTGAAGACCATCCAGCACATGCTCATCATTGATCTCACAGCCTTCTGATTCATCATGGGACCATAAATACACCAGCTTGTAGATATTTGGTTTCTTCTATAAATATGCTGTTTGAGCCTCTTCTTTATTTCCGACTAATTGGAGACATTTGATCGTCAATTCACCTCTAAGGTTTTTCAAACGACCTAATTCTTCTATCCGACGACCTTTCTCTGAACCTACGTAGAAAAATCGTAGCGTCTGAAGACTAGTCAATTGCCCCATATTTAGTGGCGTCTGCATATCTGATCCGTAACGATGGTAGCAATATATGTGTCTCAAACTTATCATATTTGCCATTTCTTCTGGAAGCTCCCTGAGAAAATAACAGTCATTGACTCTAAGTGTTTGCAAATTGTAGAGCTTGCAAATGGAGTTGGGCAAGGCTTTGATCTTAGTGTCCGAGACATCAAGATATCTCAAGTATATTAGCTTGCCGATCGAGGCAGACAACTCCTCGATGCCTGACCTGGACAAATTTAAAACTCTCAAGAACTGAAAGCTCAATAGCATATCTTTAGATATATTTCTTTTCCAGAACAATGTGCTCAAACGTCCTGGCTCGTTTATCTTATCTATTTGATCAGTTGGTGAGTCCCATCCAAAGTATCTCCAGCCAACACTCTTTTGATCAAATAGTTTAGACTTTAAAATGTCTCCAGCCAAATCATGCACAAGATCATGCATCTTACAATGTGTTATATTGTTGAGCTCATCTAGCTTAACATCTTGCAGCAAAGAATATTGCAACAAGAGTTGGAAAAACTTGCTCCCGACGTCTTCCATCACAGTGGTCTCTTGACATGGACAAAGAAACCCTTCTGCCATCCAGAGTTGGATTAGTTGGTCCTTTTCAAACTCAAAATCTTTTGGAAACATTGCAAAGTAACCAAAACATTTCTTCAGATGTGGAGATGGTAGATAATCATAACTTAGTTTTAGGATCTTCTTTATGCTATTTTCCTGAAGATCATCTTCCCCTGCAACAAGGGGGTTGCCATCAAGAATTGCCTTCCAGTCATGTTTATCCTTGTTGAATAAGAGGCCTCCCAACACACTTGCAGCCAACGGTAGACCTTGACACATTTCAACTATCTTGTTTTCCATGCTCAGTAGTTCCTCCGGAACTTCCCCATCAACAAACACTCTTTGTTTGAAAATGGACCAACAATGACAGTCTGTTAATTTCCCCAACATATGAAGATCTACTGCTACTGTGGATGCCACTTGTTTGATACGAGTAGTCACGAGAATGCAGTTTCCTCTGGATGTATTTATTCCTCTCAAGGTGTCCATGAACTCATGCCACGATGTAGAGTCAACACGCCACAAATCATCCAGGACAAGCAAATACTTTTTTCTCCCAATGCATCTTGTAGCGTCTTGACTATTATATCTCTGCTTTGGACCTCAACTTTCCTCTTTGTCAATGATTCGAGGATCAGTTCAAGAAAGCTCTTAGTTTCTACCATTTCAGGTAGGCACAACCAAACTCTCTTTTCGAACTGCTGCTTGATGTGTTGGTCATTGAAAATTCTCTTAGCCAGAGTAGTTTTCCCTAAACCCCCCATACCCACTATGGGAATGGTGCACAGAACAGCTTCCTTTCTCATGTTCAAAATCTTCTCCTTTATTTCAGCAACATCTTTGTCTCTACCAACAACATCGGAAGCAACTACTATGGAATCTGTTTCTCGAATTGGTAGCATTTGCCGAGAAGGAACCATCAGTGATTGGAGACCGAGGTTGTTGGCTAACTGATTGATATCCCTCAGGTCTTCATTGATGCTTTTTATTTTTCGAGACATTTTGTACTTGAAAGCAGTATGAGAACAGAAGTTGCTGACCTTTTCCATTAGATTGGTTCGGTTGTTCATCACTTGTGCTTTTAGAGATTCATATCTGAATTGATCAAACACATTTTCAGCATCTTCAGCAACTCTCTCAAGCATCTTGAGCCATTCTTCCACAGCCTTATCGTTGACTTGTCGTCTTTCAGCATCATGAATGAAAGCTTGGATGATGGATACATAATTTGTTAGCATTCTGAGATTTTTCTCGCAGTTCCTTAAACTTCTGACCTCCTCAACAGTGAGAGAAAGCAGTTTCTCAAGCACAATCTGAACAGTAGCACCAATGACAGGATCGGCCATCGTTGTTGTGATGCTCCTTCACAAAGTCGTCTTCTTCCTCTTCACCAAAGTCTTCTCAAAGTTTTTGCACAAGTCTTCCTTTGCTAGTTGTTTGCTAACCACTAAAGAAAGAGAAATTCATACACAATAATTTTAAAAAGTAAATATTTTTGGTTGGTGGTTGTGTTATTTTTTATTTTTAATGAATGGCAGGCACTTATATACCAACTAGTTTTCAAACACGTACGTTGCACGTGTATACCATGCTAATTAGTATAAATACTTCCAAAATATAAGTGTACGATGTGTAAAATACAAGCTCGAATCAATGAACGGTTCAACATATTCAACTTATATTATGATCATTTCAAGACAAATCATACAAAAATATTGTTATCAACTGAATTGTTTTGAAAATTAATACAATAACAGCTTCAATTATACAATTCTTATAATATATCAAGTATTCAACTTGTTAAAACTTTTTAAAAAAAATATTTTACAACACATAATTTACATGTCGACATTATAGTTACAAAATATTTAATGCCAAAAAGCTTCCGCCTTCTTTTTAAGGAATAATATCCTCCACTTTTTTTACAGATGCATACATATCGAGAACTTATCGTCGAAGGAGAGTGGTGTTTTGCAATAGTTGTAGAGAAATTCGATCAACATATGTCTTCCTTAGGATGGCTAGTATAAATTATTATCAATTCCATAGTTTGCACCTACAAAATAAAAGTATTTATTTGTTATAAAATAATCATTGTTTAAATATTTAATTGACATATATAAATAATAATTATATATATATGTACCCTTCGTCTTCTTTGACACATTCAAAATTATTAATTCTGCCATCTGTAAATTTTGACAAAAGAATTTTTTTTTCAAGTCATACACATATAATTGAATTATGAAGTACAACACAATCATTTGTGAGATATTAACATTTAACAGTATGGTAGAAAAAAATAATATAAACCAAAAATTATATGGTGCAAAAAATAAATGCATATAAAAAAGATAACACCCGAAGCCCCCAAAGACCGATGGAACCGAAATTATGTATATCTCTGCTAAACATGTAGGATATCTATAAAAGAAATTATATTTATAAAGTTCAATTATAAAATAGGAAATGTGGAAATTATCAATTTAGTTTTTAATGGTATGAATATGTCGATGTTTTTTTTTTTCGTTTTTTTTTTTTTCAGAATCAAACAACAACTCAGTT